TATGTTGTCTATGGTCCAGTTATATTAAAGTATTTCATTGATTGAAATCTATATTGAAGGCTAAAGCTGTAGGTTTTATTCTTCTTCAGAAAATGCCACAAATCCTCCTCTTTCTCAGTAATCAAGGTTATCATCTGCATATTTGCAGGCTGTTAATGAGATTTCTACCAATCCCAATGCTGAATTCTTAATATAGACCAGCTTCTTGGGTTATTTGCTCAGCATACAGATCGAGTAGGTATGGTGAAAGGATACACCCCTAACACACACACCTTTCCTATTGTAAGCCATTCAATATTCCCTGTTTCGTTTGAAAGACTGGCATGAGGTCTAGATATAGGTTCTATATAAATACAATGAAATGTCGTAGAATTCCCATTCTTTTAAGTATTCCCCATGATTGTTATGATACATAGAGTAAAATGTCTTCCATAATCCATGAAACCCAAGTAAACATCTTTTTGGTATTCTCTGTGTTCAATCAATAGCCTTCTGACTTGAGCAGTGATAATTTTCTCTCCCTGTTCTCTTCTGCAGTTCTCTGTTAATGCTTTTAAATTATCATCAGCAAAATATGACTTGCAAGTTATAATAATGTTATTATTCTATAATTTGCACATTCTGTTGGTCATCTTTCTTTGGAATGAACACAAATACAAATCTCTTTCAGTCAGCTGGCCGGAACAGTGAGTGCTTGCTGATATCTATTAATCTCTTGTAAGATTTCAATTGGTATTCCAATTGAAAGATAATTTCCAATTCCCGGAACCTTGTTTTAGGCTAATGCCTCCAGTGCAGCTTGGAATTCTTTCAGTATTATTGGTTCTTGATCCTATGATGCCTCTTGAAATAGTTGAGCATCAACAAATTCTTTGTGGTACAGTGGATGTACTTATTTTATCTTCTTTTGATGCTCCTGTGTCATTCTATTGGTTTCCTATATTGTTGTTAGATGCCTTCTAGTTGGTTCTGACTCATAGCAATCCTGTGTTCAACAGAACAAAACACTGCCTGGTCTTGTGCCATCCTCACAATTGTTGTTTGGGAACCCATTGTTGCAGCCACTGTACCAATCTACCTCCTTGAAGATGTTCCTCTTTTTTGCTGCCCTTCCACTTTATCAATCTTGATGTTTCTCCTGAAAACATATCTAAAGCACATGAGATTAAGTGTCACCATTCCCACCTCTAAAAAGCTGTACTTCTTCCAAGACAGATTTGTTTGTTCTTTTGGAAGTTCATGATTTTTAAAATATTTTTCACTAACACCATAATTCAAATGCATCAATTCTTCTTTGTTATTCATTGTCCAAATTTCACATGCACACGAGGAAGTTGAAAATAGCATTCTAGCAATTCCTTAGACATTGTTTTAGCTAATGCCTTTGTTACAGCTTGGACTTCTGGTTGTATATAGACCAGAACTTTTGGGTACAGTGAATTTGCGTTTTCCTTGCATCTCTTTTGGTATTTCCTGTATCGTCAGTATTTTGCTTATAGAATCCTTTAATATTGAAACTTGAGGGTTTTTTTTCTTAAGTTATTGAAGCTTGAGGCTTGCTGACTGTTTTCCTCCTTTGGGGTTTTCTACCTCCAAATCTTTGCACATTTCATTATAACTACTTTGACTTCTGGGGCTGCACATTGAAATTTTATACTCACCTCTTTTACTTCATCATTATTCCACATGCTTTAACTCTTCTATGCGGAGAAGAAAGTTTCAGACTCTCTTCTGATATCCACTTTGATCCTTTCTTCCTGTCATTAATGTTCAAAGTCTCAAATTTATTCTTGAAGTAGTCTCAAATTCAGGTGGGATATACTCAAGGTTATAGTTTGGCTCTTAGAGATTTTTAAAAAAATTATTCCACTTCCATTTGAACTTACTTACTTATGAGCAGTTGATGGTATGTTGTACAGTACTTCCCCAGCCTCCTTTTGACTGATACTATTAAACCTCTCCATCATGCCTTCCCACAGATGCAGTCTACTTGATTTTTGGTGAGGTCCATGTATACAATTTCCTTTTATTTTGTTGGGGAGAAAAAAAGTATTTGTATTGAAGAAGTCATTGGTCTCGCAATATTCTGTTATTTGATGTCTAGCTTAGTTTCTATGATGAAGGCCACATTTTCCAACTCCTGATCCCCATTTTTGCATTCCAATAGGCAATCGTTACAAATGCACCTTGATTGCATGTTTGATCAATTTTAGACTGAAGAAGTTGGTGACATTCTTCAATTTCTTTATCACAGTGTTTGGTGTGTTGATTTGAATAATAGTTGTGTTAACTGGACTTCCTTTTATGTATATAGATATTATCCTAGCGCAGACAGCATTGTACTTCAAAGTCTATCTTGAAATATACTTTTTGATGAGTTTTTCATTCTAGTCATAATAAATCATATGATTCAAAAATCACTAATACTAGTCAATTTTTGTTCACTAATGCCTATATTGATCTTTATGTGTTCCATTAACTTTTTTGACTTCTAGTTTTCCTAGATTCATATGTTGTGCATTCCGCATACTGATTATTAATAAATGTTCACGGCTGTTTCTTCTCATTTTGAGTTGTGCCTCATTAGCCAATATGTCCCCAATGCTTTACCTTTTCCACGTTTTTATGGCACATTGTACTTGCAGAAGGTAGCTCTTCCTCAGTGGGATTCTGAGTGCCTTTCAACCTGAAAGGGCTCATCTTCTACTGCTGTAGATGACAATGTTTTGTCATAAGTGCACAGCCTATACCCTTTCCATAGTCTTTTTTCCAGTCTGGACAAACTGCTGAAACCCCTTCACCTTAAGTGACCCTGTTAGTATTTGAAATACTAGTGACAACGTTTCCAGAGTCAAAGCAACAGGCAAGCCATCACAGCACAATATACTAGCAGAGACGTGGAGTTTTTCCATAGGATCCTTCAATATTTCAACTTGGAGTTTGAATTTTTTCTTCAGTTATTTTTGCTTGATATACGCTGACTGTGTTCCTCCCTGTGTTCCTACTTCCAGATAGTTGCACATTTTATAAAACTTTACTTTGTCTTTTCAAGCTCCCTTTGAATGTTGCACCTCAGCTTTCCTGTCTTATAATTTCTTCCATTCGTTTTAGTTACTCTGTGTCCTAGATCAAGTTTCAGAATTTCTACTTCTTTTTTTATAAATCATTTTATTGGGCTCGTACAGCTCTTACAACAATCCATGCATCAATCATATCAAGCACATTTGTGCATTTATTGCCATCATCCTTTTCAAAACACTTTCTTTCTACTTGAGTCCTTGGTATCAGCTTCTCTTTTTTTTCCCCTTCCTGCCCTCCCCTCCCACCCCCCTGACCCCTTGATTAATTATACAGTAGGGTTATTTTCATATCTTACATTATCTGCTATCTTCCTTTCACCCGTATTTCTGTTGTTTGTCCCCTGGGGAGTGGGTCATATGTCAATCATTGTAATTGGTACCCCTTTCTCCTCCTTCTCCCTCTCATGTTCCCCCTCCCCTCATGGTATCATTACTCCCATTACTGTCCCTGAGGGGTGTATCTGTGCTGGATTCCATGTGCCAAGAGCTCTTATCTGTGCCAATGCACATGCTCTGGTCTAGCCGGATTTGTAAGGTCAAACTGAGGTCATGATAGTGGGCTGGGGGATGGCAAGTGAGGAAGCATTAAAAAACTAGAAGAATATTGTGTGTTTCATAGGTGCTATACTGCTCTCTGGGTGGCTCATCCCTTCCTTGAATTTCTCCTAACATTCACTTCGATCCTTTCTTTCTATCTTTTAAATAGCCTTCTGCTTTCTTATATGATGTTCTTGATGTCACATTGAATCTTACTTGGTCTTTTGTCATTAGTGTTCAATATATCAAATTTCTTCTTGAGTCAGTCTCTAAATTCAGATGGGCTATGTCCAAGGTGGTGTTTTGGCTCTTGAGGACTTGTTTCAATTTTCTTCACCTTCAATCTCAACTTGAATATGGAAATTGATGATCCCTTCCACAATCTGTTATGGTCTTATTTTATACATATATATAGTATTTTGTATTTATTTATTGTTTTGTATTCTACAACTTTAGCAACTTACCAACATTCCTAATCCCAACTCTAAACTCACTGCTATTGAGTGGATTCTGACTCCTTGTGACCCATTGAGTGGATTCTGACTCCTTGTGACCCAACCAGACAGGATAGAACTGCCTGTTTGGTGCTATAAGACTGTAACTCTTTATGGGAGTAGGAGGTCTCATTCCTCTCGTGAGGAGGGACTGGTGCTTTCAAACTGCTGCACTTGTAGGCAGCAGCCCACTGCTGACCCATTATGCCAGCAAGGCTCCTAAATTAGCGGCGGTCAAGCTGATTCCAAATCATAGAAACGCCACGTCTGTCAAAGGGGAGTTGTACTCCATGGGATTGCAATGGCTATTTTTTTCCTAAGTCGATTTTCTTCTGCGTCACCTCTGGGTCCATCTTCACCACTAACCTTTTGGTTTGCTGCAGAAAACACTAGCTGTTTGTTTTAATGCTTTAAAGGTATTCTTTTATTTTTAATGGTTTAAAAGTTGCTTTAAGACAAAAACAGATTAAATTCACTTTTGCACCTGCTCATTACAGCACTTAATATTTTCTGCACAAAGATCCATGTAAAACATTTCTTTAAGAGCCCAATTTTGCATCTTATATCTTCTACTCATTTGACTCCTCTCTTTCAATCAGGAGATTATGTTGCTTTTGTGTGCCTTTGTCGGTAATGAAGTTTATGGTTAAAATTTTAGCTTCAAGTCCCATCCCCCACTTGGAAGGAGGGGTGTAAGAGATTACCAATAATTTGGCAAAAGCAGCTCAGCTGTGATTTCTGAGGAACTGGTAAAGACAGAGTAAACAGTGTACATTGACTTACACTGCCAAGCTGATTCTACCTCATGCCGATCCTCGAGGGGAGAGTTGTTCCAAAGAGTTTCTTTCCTTGACTGCAATCTTGCCCCCCACCCCCAGCCCCTTGATTCAGCAATGACTCCAGACAGGACCCAAGGAGGAGTTCTCTGATGCCTTCTCTGGATTGTATAGAGACTTACTTTACCCTTTTGTGTTAGCTTCATAAATCACTGGGTCAATCTTAAAAGAGTGTTAGCTTGAGCTTCTGCAAACTCCTTTTTTTCTTTATAAATGTATGTATCTACTCAACTCATATTTTTGTTCAGTGATTTTTCCACAAGCCAACTCAACTTTTAGAAGAATGCATTCGTAAGGTGTGGGTAGGGAGCTTCAAAAAGTTAATAGATAATACAATTAGAAGATCGTGTCAATTTCCCATGAGCTTTTTGAAGTCCTTTCATAGATAGAGTGTAGTAGAGCTGCAGAGATTTGTAGTAGCCCTTAGAGTGGAATCTGTTTTAGACTTGCTCACCTCCCGTTGCAGTTAGAATGCTCTACCTGAAACTCAGCCTAATAGAAGGCCCTGAACTCTTTGGTTAAATGTTACACTTGGAACAGAATGATAATTCCGAAATACACTGAAAAAGGTTCTGGGAGAACCATGAACAGACACAGATAACAGACAAAAATTGATTTAGATGGGCTTGTTAAGCAAACCTCCTAGTGTAAAGTTTTAAACCTTGATGGTGGCCTCTTCCAATATTCAATTGTTTTTACAGTTAAGGAGCTTATCTTGCCTAAATGCTTATGCTTTATCTGAGTCAAATTCTCTCTTATTCAGGACAGATCTAGATGAAGTTTTGACCCAAATAACCGATAACTCTTGGAGCACTTTTAAAGCACAGTCTCATTTGCCTACTGGGGTACGTTAGTTGACCAATATATTGAATTGCATGATGTCACCTGTAATCATGTTTCTTTATGACAAAGATGAAGTGAGGAGTGTTATTATTAATATTGGCTTGCCATGACCCCCCCCAAAGGCCTCCAAACACGGAGTTTTGACACACCCTGCATGGATCTCTGGGGTTGCTTTTACACAGCGCTTTCTTGAGCTCACAAAAGTCCTTTGTGGGTCCCTCCTAAGGCACATTATATCATCCTCTATGCCATTACTTCAATCTGTTCTAATTGGATAATGACTCCCATTTTTGAATCTGCAGAAAATCCATCCCCACCTCCCTCTGGATCTCCAGGGCAGATTTCCAGCATCCTGCTAGCAGCAGGGCTTTTTGTCCTCCCTGTAGCCCTTCAGCCACCAGGGGCCAAAGACCAATTTTCTGTAATGAATTTAATATGTTTAGTCTGAGTCATATAGTCCAGGCCAGGCAAAGAGGGCCTCTTTTAGGGCTACTTTCCATTAGGGGAATCAAAGAGGCATGTCAGCAACTGCAGGATCAGGAATGGAGTGTGCAAACCCATCTGGTGCCAGTCTCATTTTAACTCCAGCCATCTTCTTAGCCACTCTGTGGACTCTCCTAAATCAAGTTGGCAGTCATTTATTATGCTTCTGGCTCCTAGAATTGACAATAGACCACTCTCAACCTCATATTGGAAATCCTGGGATACATACTTATTGATTTATCTTCTAAGACTTGGTCCTTGTTAGTGACAAGAGAGAATTGTGAGTGATAAACTCCTCTGGATATCTTGGTAATCTGTTGTTTGGGGATATATGTATGTGTGTGTGATGTGATGATTATCTATATTTAAAACACACGTGAAATTGTATTTCTGAAAGGAAAGGAAATGCAAAAAGCGTGTAGGCATGGGTAAATTATAAGTGCTCTAAAAGATTATCTGATTCATCTCTGTACCACTAGAAATAAACTGCTTAGACCTCCAGGACCCAGAACATCATTAGTAAATGGAAAACTTTTGGACACTTGGAAAGACAGATGTTCAATATTGACTAGATTCAACCAGTGAATTTATTCCACCAAAATTATAATAAGGTTTCTGACAACATATTAAAGGAATCAAAAATGAATAAATAGAGAGATTTTCTATTGAGAAACTCAGTTTCGTTCAAGAAACATAAATAATGTGATAAGGCCTATCAGAATGACCACCCTCACCTCTGAAAAAAGATAAAATCCGCTGATAGCTAGTGGATTCCAACTCACAGTGACCCTTGAGGAGAGAGTAAAACTGCTCGATAAAGTTTCTGAGGTTGTACATCTTTATGGAAATTGACTGGCTCATCTTTATCAGAGAAGAAGCTACTAGGTTTGAACTGATGGCCTTTAGTTAGCAGCTTAATTCATGTGCCACCTACATCTTTCAGAAAGGCAAAGAGGTCTTAATTATCAAAGGACAGCTGGCATGAAGAAAAGGTCACTTACAATAAATAAATTCAAAGGATGGGCCAAATTTCAAAGAAAATTAGGGAAAACATTTTAGTTAGGAAATTATTCTTGACTAATAACTAAAACTAGGAAAGTAATTTTTACTTATGAGCAACATTTAGATTTTATTTTATCTTTTTCATCTTGGAACATATAAAGAATCAAAACAGCTCTTTTGCTGACAAGAGATATTCTAACAGGAGACTAGTAATATCATCTAGGGGATGATAGCAGAAATATTCACTCAAGAGCAGCCTCAACTCTTCTGGAAACTTACAATGACTTTTGATATTAAATAACTTTATTTTGAAACTATATATGACTTCATCTTTATGGATTTTGTCTGTTTCAATTGTCCATGCATTTAAATACTCTAGGCATTCTTTTGCCCATCATTTTCCATGTGATTCCAGAAGTTCTTCAAAGAAATGTCATCTCCTTTATCAAATCCTACATAACTTGCAAGATCTTTCAATTTCACTTTACAATGGAAGAGACACAATTAACGGTGGGAGATGGATGGACTTGAATGCGATGTTGGTCGGATGCTTTCATGGTGAGAACCTGGGAACTTTACTGAACGTGTTTCCTTCATTTTGTCAGACAGGGTGTGTGTGGCCTGCAATGGGACTCTTAAATTTGTCCCTATTTTCTCATTGATAATGTTTATAGATTCTCAATTTACATTCTATGGTACATACACACCACAGAATACTAGACATCACTAAAAAGAGTGATAGAACCACTCAGCACCTTGGTCAGACCTGAAAAACATTATACTGAGCAATGTTAGCCAATCACAAAATGATTGAGGTTTGTCTGTGCATTGTTTGAGTATAGTTGTTGGGGGTTTTCTTTGTATGGTATTGTTATATGCAATCTGGAATAGGTACATTTATAAAGAGAGTAACTAGATTCATAGTTTCTTAGGATTGTAGAAGGGAAGGTTCGGGGGAAATAAGGAACTAAACACAATGAATAAAGAATGAAGCAAATGTTCTAAAATTGATTATGATGATGATTGTACAACCATTTGTCAAATAATTATATCTTAGAATAGTATGATACAGGAATTACGTGTCAATAAAACTTAATTTTTTTAAAGACATGTGTTAGGCAGGGTTCTCTAGAGAAACAAAACCAGAACCTTTATGATTATAGATAGATAGATAGATAGATAGATAGATAGATAGATAGATAGATAGACTTATATAGCAAGAAGGAATATATCAGTTAGTTAGTCCACACAGCAGTACAGAGGGCTCAGTTCAATTCACTTTTGTGGAATAATTAATATACTGAAAGTCCTTCAACTCACAGAGGAGGCCTCTGTCCAAAGTCAATGACTCCTTACACACTGTTCTTTAAAGGGACTTGGAAAATTAATAGTATATAATAATAATTATCACTCTCCCTGGCAATATACTAAGAGCAACATAGAGACTCAAACATGCTGGAGAAATTTTTAATTTGTTTTACCAGTCAGTTGATGAATGTGTTCATTCCTATGATAGACTTCATGGGAACTTTCTATGATTTAGTCATTGATATAAGCATTAGCTACATCTATACTAGTGGTTACTAAACTTGTGTCAAACCACTGGGATGATGTTCCTTTCACTTACACCTTGAATATGTCTCTGAGGTTTTCTAATTCCGAATTCAGTATGTACTCTTTCCACAATACAAATGGCTCCCAAGTACTAACATATGCTGGAAGATGCTATTTTTGTTACTCCAATTGTTGTTACATAATTCTTACAGAGTGCTGGAAGAAGGCTAAACATTGTTTTATATATCAATTATATACACTAATATATCCGTTTCCTGGACTGGTCAAATTCTATTGAACCTGCTTTGCCAACAATCTTCTAGCTTCTTGTTTGTTTTTTAATTTTCTTTTTGCTGAGAATATATGCAGCACAAAATACACAAATTCAATTGTTTCTACATGTGTAATTTAGTGACATGCACTACAGCCTTTGAGTTGTGTAACCACTTGCACCCTTCATTTCTAAGCTGCTATTTCCTCATTAACATAAACTCACAGCTCTCTAAGTTTCCTATCTCATCTTTCAAGTTACTGTTGTTAATTGTATCCCATATAAATAGTTCTTAAAAGAGCATAATGCTCTAGACAGACCTATTTTACAAATCAAACTGTTGTTTGGCTTGAAGCAGACTTCAGGGAATATTTTGGTTGAGAGTTTAAAGATTATCCAGAGAAGATCATCAGGGATTTATCCACCTTACAGGGCTCCAGAAAATCTACAGGCCATGAAATTCTCTTCTGTATTTTCCCCTTATTGATCAGTATTCTATGGAATCTTTGATAAAACAGATTTAATAATGGTAGTTGGGTACCATCCATTCTTCTGGCCTCAACAGAGGCAGTTGTTCATGAAGTGATTAGCCACACACTCCAAGTCTTCCTCCTATTCTTGACCCTCCTTCTTTTTTCTGGGTGAAGGGAGATCAGTTATGTCTTGAAAGATTTTAGGACTTAAGGCACTAGACAATTAACTAGGAAGTAGAAGAGAGGCATCAAAGATTTCATTGGACCAATTAACCGGAATATCTCATGTAGCCATGACTCTAAACCTGCAAACCAAGGAACCAAATTCCATAAGGCGTTTCATTGTGCACAAGCAGCCCAGCAGCTGATCTCTTCCAGTCATTGTTATAAAGATCTCTATCGCACAACTTTTGCCAATCCAACCTTTTTTCAAATGTACTAATGATCAGGTGTGTAGTAGCTTCAGGGATTAATGTGCTAGTCTGGTAGACTAAAGAAGCAAATTCATAATAGACAGTGGTGTGTATAAGAAAGAGTGTTCTATAAAAG